TGTATGTATGTATGTATGTATGTATATGTATGTATGTATGTATTTATGTATTTATATATGTATGTATGTATGTATGTATATATAGATATATATTAATTCATATATAAACGTAAGTTGTATACTCTCTCAGAGTTCAAGGTTTATGGTTCAGGGTTCTTGGTCTGACACGAAGGATGTTCACCCTGATTTCCCACAGGGAAAGAAGGAGGTGGAATGTACTTCCAGGCGAATCTGTGGAAACTGTATAACGTGTCGGCCTACGGAAATACGGCAAAGGTACAATTGCACTGCTAAAGAGGCAACCACACGGTTGCCTGTAGCATAAATTAAGTGTATTTATATTGATTTCTCTTGATCATTTTACGTTATCCCCGTGCCTTTTACGTTTACACTTCCGTTTAATGACCACCCGAACTCTGTCGACCTAGGCTTAGCCTTTCGTGAATGCCATATTCAATCTTCACTAGCAGTATAACCCATTCAAGTTCGTTTGTTATGTTGATTCGATAATCTAAAACGCCCATTTCTGCCGCGATATTTTCCTCTTTTTTTTGTGGGTGGGGGGGGGGCTTTTGTTTCTCATTTCTCAGGTAGGCGCTGGTGGCATCACGACAGGGTCTGTGTCTCTGTTCGACTGCAACTTCTCATACAACATTGCATCGGATTATCGGGGAGAAATCCCGCGCTTTGTATGTCACTGTGTTGTGTATTGGGACCTCTCTCCTGTGTTGTGCATCCCGCTAGTATGTCCCATTCCTGGGTCTGTGTTTCTGGTTTAATTATGACTCCTCACACAACCTTGTAACAGGTTATCGGGAAGAAAGCGTGTGCTTTGTATGTCACTGTGTGCCTCTGCTGTGTATTGAGACCTCTGTCCCATGTTGTGCATCCCGCTAGTATGTCCCAGTCCTAAGTCTGTAATTCTGGTTCGTTTGCGGTTCCTCACACAATCTTGTATCAGGTTATTGGAAGAAAGTCTGCGCTTTATATGTCACACTGCGTAGTTATGTGACCTCTTGTAGCATCCGTTACGGTAGTGTATATCACATGTGCACTCAGAATCACACGCGTCACCACCAAGGGTATCCATAGGCTCTACCAATATTCATTAATATCGTCCGCAAATACTGTACATGTAGTGCTATTTGAATCACCTACGCCAAACATATCCACAATCACACTCAAATACGTTTTACACATACTATATACGGCTCGGCTCTGAATCATGCACTCACAACCACATTCATCTACGCCTTGCGCTCAATAAACACAGACTTTCTGTATTCATATACCCACAATCACACTCCAATACGCCATCCTCCTGCACGCGTGCTAAGTCGGAGGCAGGGGCCTTTTCTGTGAACGGAGACTTTGTGGCGGTCAACTCCACATTTGTAAACAACACCGCCGCAATCGCTGGGGCAGTGTCCGTGTCCACTGGCACATCTGAGATTCTTCACTGTACATTTACAAACAACACAGCAACGGTATGTAGTGGGTGTTTGTATACACATGCTTCGATATGTGAGTGTATGTTTCTAGTATATGTTAAGATATGTCACCACATTTGTAAACAACACCGCCGCAATCACTGGGGCAGTGTCTGTGTCCACCGGCAAATCGGAGGTTCTCAACTGTACATTCGCGAATCACGCATTAATGGTTGTCACAGAGTTTTTGTATACACATAAATCGAAGTGTGAGTGTATGTCACTAGTACATTTTTACATGCGATGTAATAGCTGCCAAGAATCGTGCGGCAATCTTTAGGGGCATGTGTGTGCTCTTCGGTAAGTCTGAGACGTCTATTTGTATGTATACTTCCAATGCACTGTATGTGTTCAGGTGTATAGGTAAGTCTACATCAAAGGTATGTATCATCTCGCTACGCAGTTTCGGGTGTGAAGTGTATGGTGTGCTTGGATTGCCATCCTGGATATTTGTATATAATCACTTACTGCATCCATAAGTGAATATCACTTTTGTGTGTACCCATGCGACTGTGAACCGCTTGTCGTGAAAGAACAGTATCGCAGTTGTCACTATAGATGAGTGTCACACATTGTTACAAGCAGAGAACATCAACAACACCACCCCATTTGCGGAGAAGCGTAAGGATTTGGCAACTGCTTGCTGGTGTTCAGTAAAGAATAATATAAATAGACTAGGTGACTGGGTGTCGTATATCAATACACTACACGACTGGACCAGGTGTCGTATATTAATATACTACACGAATAGACGAGATGTTGTATCATATTAAAATACATGAGACCTAGTCTTGTTGAGCCATAATATCACAGGATGAACTGTATACCACATGACTGCAACGACTTTCGCGTGCAGAGTTTTCTTCACTCACCCAATGTTTGTATGAAATTCTGCAGGCTTTCGATGCTGGGGCGATCACATTCGTGCAAGGCTCAGCCAATGTGACGAACTCAACTTTCATAAACAATACAGCGCCGGTAAGTGAGCAAGCGAGTATA